TTCTGCGATAATTGCCTCAAACTCCCACAACCCCCGAGCCCTTTTTTCCACCCTGAACTCAGTTCTACACCTCAGTGAACCTTCACCTCTAGAAGCCTCAACTGAGATGTGTGAAAACTTCCTCCATTTCTTTTCTGAAAAAGTGGCAAACACCCGGGCACTCATTTCTCCACCTGCTCATGATCTGTCCATCCCATCTCATTGTGTTGCTGTTCTTGACCACTTTGAGCCCATCTCTCTGTCTTCCCTGGAGCAGGTCATGTGCGGCATGAAGCCATCTGGCTCCCCTTTTGACGTTGTCCCCCCTCGACTCCTTAAGGAGCTTCTTCCTGTTCTGGGCCCTCCTGTTCTTGGCATTGTGAACAGCAGCTTAGCCTCAGGTGTGGTGCCAATAACTTTTAAACATGCTGCTGTCCAACCTCTCCCGAAAAAACCTAGCCTTGACCCTTCAGTCATGTTCAACTTCCGGCCTGTCTCCAGACTCCCATTTGTCGCTAAACTGCTGGAAAAAATAGTGGAGTCCCAGCTGAAATGCTTTCTAGAGGATAATGCCATCTTAGAGCTATTCCAGTCTGGCTTTAAACCTCTCCACAGCACTGAAACTGCTCTACTCAAGCACACAAAGTTTGTTTTCTCAGTCATCCAGGTATATAACAACAAAAAAGGTTGAATCATGTCATCAGGACTTCGTTTTTTTTTGTTAAAAAGAAACGTTTCGCCCCTCATCCAAGAGGCTTCGTCTGAGGCAGGCTTGAAACACAAGAGTCAGGGTGGCTTCTGGGTAATACCAGATGGCTAGGCCTCAGACTGACGAAGCCTCTTGGATGAGGGGCGAAACGTTTCTTTTTAACAAAAAAAACGAAGTCCAGATGACATGATTCAACCTTTTTTGTTGCTCTACTCAAGGTTTTTAACAACATTCTCCTATTCACAGACGCTGGTGATTCGGTGCTCCTTCTCTTACTGGACCTCACATCTGCCTTTGACACAATTGACCACGAGATCCTCATTGCGAGGTTAGAGCAGTGGGTGGGCATCACTGGGTCAGCCCTCGAATGGTTTAGATCTTACCTCGCTGACAGGTCCTTTTGTGTCTCCATCAAAGATTTTAGTTCAGCCTCGGCAGCGCTTAAATGGGGGGTACCGCAAGGGTCCATCCTTGGTCCTCTTTTATTTTCTTTATACCTGCTGCCACTAGGTGCTATTTTCAGGAAACATAACATACCTTTTCATTTCTACGCAGACGACTGCCAAATCTACTTCCCCCTCAGACTCAACGGTACTCGCTCTATTCAACCGTTACTGGACTGCCTGTCTGACATCAGAGATTGGATGGCTTTAAATTTCTTGAGTTTCAACGAGAAGAAATCTGAAGTTATGCTCTTTCCTCCCAATGACACAATCACCAACCACTGCATCGACCTATCCGTTCTGTCACCGTTAGTGAAACAAAGAGTCACTAATCTAGGAGTGATACTTGACCCTTCTTTGAAACTCAACAATCATGTAAATATGATTGTTAAATCCTGCTTTTTCCAGCTGAGGCGACTGTCTAAGCTGAAGCCCATATTGTCCAAAAATAACCTGGAGACAGTAATTCATGCATTCATTACATCCAGGCTCGACTATTGCAACTCACTCCTTTTTGGTATCAGTCAGACCTCCATAGCTAGACTCCAACTGGTCCAAAATGCAGCAGCCTGGTTTTTGACCAGCACAAGCAAAAGGGAGCACATTACACCTGTTTTGGCCTCCCTACACTGGCTTCCGGTTCACCTTCGAATCAAATTCAAAATACTCTTGTATGTCTATAAATCACAAAACAGCTCTGCCCCCTCCTATCTTACTGATCTGCTCCAGCCATATGTCCCACCACGTTCTCTCAGATCAGCAGACCAGTTGCTCCTAACAGTCCCAGGAACCCGTCTCAAGCGCAGAGGTGACAGGGCCTTCTCTGTAGCAGGCCCAAGACTTTGGAATGAGTTACCTCTGCTGGTTAGACAGGCCCCCTCCCTCACAGTTTTTAAATCTCGCTTAAAAACACACTTCTATTCCCTGGGTTTCTGCACTGTGTGACCTGTGCTGAGTCTGTGTGCATCACACTGTGTTAGTCATGTTGCGGTTGTTGTTGTTATCCATTATTGTTTCTGTTGGTTTCTACTTTTTGGTGTCCTGTTATGTTATCTTTTGCTATGTGCTTGTTCTGTTTGTCCCTGTACAGCACTTTGGTGTGCTTTGTCACTGTTTAAAGTGCTTTATAAATAAATTGGTATGGTATGGTATGGTATAAACATCTGTGAAACGTGCGGCAGTGAAGTGGTTAATGGTCCGAGTCCTACGTGCAGGAATGCACGACTTAGGAGTTAGATGGGGGAGGGTGAACTCAAACCGGACTGGCATGTGGTCTGAAAAAACATTATCACCAATTTCAAGATTACTAACAGTCACATCACGTGTTAAAACAAGGTCCAGTGTATGTCCATGCTCATGGGTGGAACCGTTTACATGCTGCGTTAGATTAAATGAGTCCAATAAATCTAAAAAGTCCTTAACCAAGGGCTTCTCAGGACAGCACAGATGCAAATTAAAGTCCCCAAAAATGAAATCATGATTATTTTTTGGTGTGGTTTCAGCCAAGAAGTCAGAAAACTCATTTATGAAATCCTTAGATCGAGGTGGGCGGTAGACAAGTGCAAATAACGTCGGAGGCGAATGGCCGAGTTCAAAGACGCTCAGCTCAAAACTGGCGCGGGAATCTGGGATGGGCAGTTGTTTACAGTCAAAAGTTGGTTTGAATATTGTTAATAATCCACCACCGCGCCGGCCTGATGGCCACGGGGCGTTAAAATACAGACAGTTCTGTGGCAATAATTCCGTCAAGGCGCTGGACTCACCCGGAGACATCCAAGTCTCTGTGATGCAGAAAAAGTCTAACTCGTACTCTTGAAAGTAATCCCTGAGGATAAAAGTTTTGTTGGTAACAGATCTTGCCTTGACCAAACACATACTGTCCAAAGTCCAAAGTGGAGACAGCAGCGGTGGAGTTAGCGCGCATCAGTGGCCTCAGGTTTTCAATAACAGCCCCTCCAGGTCGGTCCGAGCTGTGCACGGCTGACAACTCCCGTTGTTTACCTGGTCCGGGCACACAGGAAGCTGGTGATGGAAACCATGACTACCAGCTGAAGAGGAAGATGAAGTGTGCAGGGCTTTAAGCTTTACCAGCCGCCCAGCACGTTTTCCTCGGCGTCTGTAGCTATGTCTCCGGGCAGTCTGTAGCTATGTCTCCGGGCAGGGAGGTGAGGAGCGCAGCGGAGGTAAGCTGGCACATCCGCCAGCGGGGGGGGGGGGGGGGGCGGGGGGGGGGGGGGGGGGGGGGGGGGGTGTCCAGAGGTACGCTGATAATGGTCCAAATAAGTGACATCGATGACAGAAAAACGAAGATCCAGAAGCTGTTGTCGGTCATACATCAGTAGTGAGTCTATATCACAGATAAAAAACAAACAAAACACAAATAATCCGAACACCATCAGCAGAGGTGGATTGCAAGCCATGTACACGGGTACCATCTTACCGGAAGTCATCTTACAGCCAGGTCATCTGAACAGTTTCGTAGAAACTTAAGAATCTAAGAAACTGGTTCTTGGTGTGGGTTTGTAGCAGTCATTGGCAAAAATGCCTGAGCTGAGGCATTTTTGGTAGACCCAGAAGTGCTTTATTTTGAAGGACATGGATGTGCGTAATTTTATTGCTTCGTGTTAAACGAGAAATCAGCAAAGGGAGAGAACAAGTGTGGGGCAAAGCTAAAGATAAATAAAAGTGCAAAAAGATTTAGCACCAGTCGAAAAGGAGGAACAAGTTAAATGTTTGCATATGGACATAAGTACAGCACATGTTAATGCATATAATTTAAGTAATATTGAAAACAAACCTCCCTGGGCTGCGACCTTACCATGGTGGAGGGTTATGAGTGTCCCAGTGATCCTAAGAGCTATGCTTTCAGGGTCTTCATGCCCCTAGTAGTGTCACACAAGGCAGACAGGTCCTAGGTGAGGGACCAGACAAAGTGCAACCCAAACACTCTTATGATGAGAAAAATAAATGGACTCAATGTTCCCTTGCCCGAATGTGGGTCACTAGGGCCCCACTCTCGAGCCGGGCCTGGAGGTGCAGCACACTGGCTAGCGCCTGGTGGCCGGGCTTTTACCCATGGAGCTCGGACGGGCACAGCCCGAAGAAGAGACATGGGTCCTCCTTCCCATGGGTTCACCACCTGTGGGAGCGGCCAAAGGGGTCGGGTGCAATGTGGGATGGGTGGTGACTGAGGGCAGGGACCCTGGCGGTCTGATCCTCGGCTACAAAAGCTGGCTATTGGGATGTGGAATGTCACCTCTCTGGTGGGGAAGGAACTTGAGCTGGTGTGTGAGGTTGAGAGGTTCCGGCTAGAAATGGTCGGACTCACCTCGATGCATGGCTCTGGCTCTGGAACCAGTTTCCTTGAGAGGGGATGGACACTCTTCCACTCTGGAGTTGCCCTGGTGAGAGGCGCAGAGCAGGAGTGGGCATACTTGTTGCCCCCTATCTTGGTGCCTGTACGTTGGGGTTCACCCCAATGAATGAGAGGATAGCCTCTCTTCGCCTACGTGTGGGGGGACAGGTTCTGACTGTCGTTTGTACTTATGCGCCAAACAGAAGCTCAGATCACTCACCCTTTTTGGAGTCCTTGGAGGGGGTACTGGAGAATGCACCACCTGGGGACTCCCTTGTTCTGCTGGGGGACTTCAGTGCTCATGTGGGCAATGACGGTGAGACCTGGAGGGGTGCGGTTAGGAGGAACGGCTCCCCTGATCTGAACCCAAGTGATGTTCTGTTGTTGAACTTCTGTGCTTGTCATGGATTATCCATAACAAACACCATGTTCAAGCATAAGGGTGTCCGTATGTGCTCTTGGCACCAGGACACCCTAAGCTGCAGTTCGATGATCAACTTTGTTGTTGTCTCACCTGATCTGCGGCTGCATGTCTTGGATACTCGGGTGAAGAGCAGAGCGGAGCTGTCCACTGATCACTACCTGGTGGTGAGTTGGCTCTGATGATGGGGCGGATGCCAGTCAGACCTGGCAGGCCCAAACGTATTGTGAGGGTTTGCTGGAAACATCTGACAGAGTCTCCTGTGAGACGGAGCTTTAACTCCCACTTCCAGGAGAACTTTCAACATGTTTCAGGGGAAGTAGGGGACATTGAGTCCGAGTGGTCCATGTTCCGTGCCGCTATTGTCGAGGCAGCTTACCAGAGCTGTGGCCACAAGGTTGTCGGTGCCTGTCGCGGCGGCAACCCTCGAACCCAGTGGTAGATACTGGCAGTGAGGGATGCTGTCAGGCTGAAGAAGGAGTCCTATAGGGCCTTTTTGACCTGTGGGACCCTGGAAGCAGCTGATGGGTACTGGCAGTCCAAGAGGCATGCGGCACGGGTGGTCACTGAGGCAAAAACTCGGGCATGGGAGGAGTTCAGAGAGGCCATGGAGAATGACTTCCGCACGGCTTTGAAGCAGTTCTGGTCCACCATCCAGTGTCTTGGGGGAGAAAGTGGTACACCACCAACACAGTTTATAGTGAGGGTGATGTGCTACTGACCTCAACTCGGGATGATGTGGGTCGGTGGGCAGAATACTTCGAAGACCTCCTCATTCCCACTGGCATGTCTTCCACTGAGGAAGCGGAGCCTTGGGACTTTGGGTCAGGCTCTCCAGTCTCTAGTGCTGAGGTCACCGAGGTGGTTAAAAAGCTCCTCAGTGGCAGGGCCCCAGGGGTGGATGAGATTCGCCTGGAGTTCCTTAAGGCCTTAATCTTGTGATAACCTTTTTGTTAACGTTGTGTTAACCTTTTTGTTAACCCTGTGTTAACCCTGTGGTACCCTTGTGCTAACCTTGTGTTAACCATGTATAAACCTTGTGTTAACCCTGTGTAAACCCTGTGTAAACCCTGTGTTAACCCTGTGTAAACCTTGTTAACCCTGTGTAAACCTTGTGTTAACCCTGTGTTAACCCTGTGAAAACCTTGTGTTGACCCTGTATTAACCGTGTGTTAACCCTGTGTAAACCCTGTGTTAACCCTGTGTAAACCTTGTGTTAACCCTGTGTAAAGCTTGTGTTAACCCTGTGTAAATCTTGTGTTAACCTTGTGTTAACCGTGTGTTAACCCTATATTAACCCTGTGTTAACCGTATGTTAACCCTGTGTAAACCCTGTGTAAACCTTGTGTGTAAACCCTGTGTAAACCTTTTGTTAACCCTGTGTTAACCCTGTGTAAACATTGTGTTAACCTTGTGTTAACCGTGTGTTAACCCTGTATTAACCCTGTGTAAACCCTGTGTAAACCTTGTGTTAACCTTGTGTAACTACTGTGTAAACCCTGTGTAAACCCTGTGTTAACCCTGTGTTAACCCTGTGTTAACCCTGTGTAAAACTCGTGTTAACCCTGTGTAAACCCTGTGTTAACCTTGTGTTAACCGTGTGTTAACCCTGTGTAAACCCTGTGTAAACCTTGTGTTAACCTTGTGTTAACCGTGTGTTAACCCTGTGTTAACCCAGTGTAAACCTTGTGTAACTACCGTGTTAACCTTGTGTAAACCCTGTGTTAACCTTGTGTGTGATTGCTCAGCTGAAACTACTGCGCCGTTTACCACAGAATCTGCTTCTAGGCTCTAAATAGTTTGACAGTTTTATTGAGACTGCTACTCACTGGTGCATGTCTACTCTCCTCCGTGCACTAATTCTCACAAAGGACCACACGCCTGCATTAAGGACTTAATCAGAACCACAGAAGCTATAGCATAGTTTAGGCTAGAGCGCCCCCCTCTGTCTGAACTAGGTCATCTAAGAAAAACTAATGTTTGAAAGAAAATGAGTTAAAATGAGGTGCAATGAAAAAGTTAAAACGGTCATTTGACACATTGATGGACCCAGCCAATCAGAGGAGAGCAGCTGTGACTGGTCCATTAGTATTTCTGAAGTGTGTTACCATGGTGATGAGATCAAACCATCATAAATGTTTTCCATTTTTATTTTTGAATTCAAACACCTGAAGAAGATCAAACACCTGATTTATGACATTTACACTGGGGTCACACCAGGACTGTTTCCTTCAGGCTCTAACAAAAGGTTCTAATAAAACTGGGCTCGTGGTCCCCATCAGTCCGACTTCTTGCCGGTAGTTTTTTTGTGACGCGGTAGTGACGTGTCCTCATTGTCGGTCTGAGTGGGACGCTTTCTGATACAAAGGTAACAGAAAAGGGTGCAGATGAAGAGTGGGAAGCCGAACAGGAAGCAGCCGAGTCCTGGAGCATCTCTGAACAGGGGCTGGGTGGACAGAGAGGACAAACGGTGAGACTGACAGAAACAGGGTGGACAGAGAGGACAAACGGTGAGACGGACAGAAACAGGGTGGACAGAGAGGACAATGTCAGGTACCATCAGGGTGGTTCTGGTTTCGTACGCTACCCGTCTGAGGCGTTGACTGAAACCATTTCCTCCCAGACTCTAAGGAGCAGATCAGACCCAGAATTAGTATCCACAAGAGTTTCTGGTCTTCAATAAGACCTGGTCCCACAAGAGTTTCTGCTCTGGTTCACCTCCACACTGCCATTCAGGACCCCTTCCAGGAAGTCCAGCAGGTGGTGTTCTGTCTCCAGGGAACTTGGTGGCAGGAAGTAACCATCATTGGACAGATTAACCACGATGAATGATGGCACTAGGACTTCCCTGGTGGCAGCAGATGTCAGGTCAGAACCAGAATAGGAAGTGAGGAGGTTAAAAGGAGACGGAGGTGAACTCACCCCATGATGAGTCCGTTGATGTAGTCGCTGCCTTTCATGAAGCCAAAGTAGAAGCTCCTAAACATCACACAGACACACAATCAGCTCTCATTCTCCACTTCCTGTCTGCAGCTTTTCAAAATAAAGCCCGACCTGCTGTACGTCTCCTTGTGTTCCGTGGCCACCTTCTCCACCAAATGTTTATACCTGAACAGATGACAGGAAACGCATTACAGGAAGTTGAAAGTGAGAATTTTAAAGCGGAGGATGGAGGCGTACCTGAGGCTTCTATCACAGAGGTGTGTCTCTTCCACCAAGGCCAACAGCACCAGTTTACCTGCAAAATAGGGCCGGAGTCATTTCACCTGAACTAATCACCAGAGGCCACTGTGTTGAACTTCTGTTTGAATTAAAAAAATGTTTTTTCCTGATTTTAATATTACTAAAATTAGAAACATCTGATCTAAAAATGATGCAGAAAAACTGGTCCATGCATTTGTCACGTCTAGACTGGACTATTGCAATGGTTTATTATCTGGGTGTCCAAATACTTCTTTAAAACGTCTTCAGTTGATCCAAAATGCTGCTGCCAGAGTCTCAATGAGAGTTTTTTTATCAGGTTAATGTCATTGAGCCTCGAGAACTCTTTTACAAGACAGACCTGATTAAAACAAAGAACCAGAGGAGGTCAGACAACAACAGACAATCACATAAAATGAAAAAGAAAATAGAAGAAATGCCATATAAGCTAAAAAAAACCAAACCCCAGCTACATTATAAAGTGGTGTAAAAAACTAAAAACAGGAACATGTCTGCGTTGGTTATTTCCAAGAATTTAACAGATGTCTGTCTAAACAGATCTCACTTGTAAATGAGTCTTGTAGGCTCATTGTGACTTATCTGTCTAAATAAAGGTTGAATGAATGTTTGAAGCCACTTAGAGAGGTCAAAGGTCGAGAGCTTCAGATCTTTTTACAAGATATTCCAGGAAACTGGAGCGGAGCAGGAGAAGGTCCTTTAGTCTAGTTCAGTCCTCACTGAGGGAACACTGCAGGTAATAATGTCCTGAGAGCGCACGCTGTAGCTGCACTCACACAGAGACATGTAGGATGAGAGGTATGAAGGCAGCAGACCAGGAAGTGATTTAAAGATGGAAATGTACCAGTGGGAGAGTCTGTGTGAAGTTAATGGTGACCAGTTAACCAGTGAATACTGGGTGCAGTGGTGGGTATGGTAGTTACAGCCAGTTATGAATCTTAGTGCACCATGATAGACAGTATCCAACATCTGCAGCATCCAACATCTGCAGCATACAACATCTGCAGCATACAACATCTGCAGGGTTCTTGTAGGAGCGTTCATGTAAATAATGTCAACGTAATCAATGGAGGGAAGGAAAGTCACAGATACAAGGTGTTTCCTAACATTCAGAGTTAGACAGGTTCTGTTTCTGAAAAAGAAACCCAGGTTTAATTTCAGGGTTTTTTTTTATCAAGTTTTCTGACATGGGGCTTAAAAGAGAGATGTGCATTGACCAAACTTCCCAAGTATTTATGACAATCGACAAGCTCAATAAGTGAGGGACCAGACAAAGTGCAGCCCAAAGAACCGTTATGATGAGTACAATCAATGGAAACAATCTTCCCTCAATTGGACGCGGGTCACTGGGTCCCATTGTGGAGACAGGCCTGGAGGTGGGGCATGCTGGAGAGCGCCTGGTGGCTGGGCTTTCACCCATGGAGCCCGGCCAGGCACAGTCCAAAGATGAAAGGTGGGTCTCTCTTCCCATGGGCTCACCAAAGGAGCCAAAGGGGTCGGGTGCAATGTGGGATGGGTGTGGGGACCTTGGCAGTCTGATCCTCGGCTACAGAAGCTGTCTCTCAAGATGTGGAATGTCACCTCTCTGGTGGGGAATGAGCCTGAACTGGTGTTGTGAGGTTGACAGGTTCTGGCTACAAATAATTAGACTCACCTCAACACATGGCTCTGGCTCTGGAACCAGTTTCCTTGAGAGGGGTTGGACACTCTTCCACTCTGGAATTGTCCCTGGTGAGAGGCGCTGAGCAGGAGTGGGCATACTTGTTGCCCCCATCTTGGTGCCTGTATGTTGGAGTTCACCCCAGTGAACAAGAGGGTAGCCTCGGGTAGCCTTCCTCCGCCTATGTGTGGGAGGACGGATTCTGACTGTTGTTTGTGCTTATGCGCCAAAAGGCAGTTCAGATTACCCACCCTTTTTGGAGTCCTTGGAGGGGGTAATGGAGGGTGTCCCTCCTGGGGACTCCCTTGTTCTGCTGGGGGACTTCAATGCTCATGTGGGGAATGAAAGTGAGACCTGGAGGGGTGTGGTTAGGAGGAACCGCCCCCCTGATTTGAACCCATGTGGTGTTCTGTTGTTGGACTTCTTTGTTCCTGTAAAGCGCCCTGAGACAACTTTGTTGTGATATGGTGCTATATAAATAAACTGAATTGAAAAACTGAATTGTGATCATCATGGATTGTCCATAACGAACACCATGTTCAAGCATAAGGGTGTCCATATGTGCTCTTGGCACCAGGACACCCTAGACCACAGTTCGATGATCGACTTTGTTGTCGTCTCATCTGATCTGTGGCCACATGTCTTGGACACTCGGGTGAAGAGAGGAGCGGAGCCGTCCACTGATCACTACCTGCTGGTGAGTTGGATCCAACGGAGGGGGAGGATATCGGTCAGACCTGGCAGGCCCAAGCATATTGTGAGAGTCTGCTGGGAACATCTGGCAGAGTCTCCCGTGAGACAGAGCTTTAACTCCCACCTCCAGGAGAACTTCAAACACGTTCTGGGGGAGGTGGGGACATTGAGTCCGAGTGGGCCATGTTCTGTGCCTCCACTGTCAAGGCGGCTTATCGGAGTTGTGGCCACAAGGTTGTCAGTGCCTGTCGCGGCGGTAACCCTCAAACCCATGGGTGGACACCGGTGGTGAGGGATGCTGTCAGGATGAAGAAGGAGTCCTATCAGGCCTTTTTAGCCTGTGGGACCCTGGAAGCAGCTGATGGGTACCGGCAGTCCAAGTGGCATGCAGCTCAGGTGCTCACTGAAGCAAAAAACATGGGCATAGGAGGAGTTTGGAGAGGCCATAAAGAATAACTTCCGTTTGGCTTCGAGGCAATTCTGGTCTGCCATCCGGCGTCTCGAAGGGTGCGGGAAGCGGTACACCACCAACACTGTTTATAGTGGAGGTGGTGTGCTGCTGACCTCAACTCGAGATGTTGTGGGTTGGTGGGCAGAGTACTTCTGAGTACTGAACTCTGCAGTGCCTATGTGTGTTGTCTCTGGACATGCACACTTGCCCTTGCCCCCCCCCCCCCCCCACACACACACACACTGATGACGATCCAAACTCGAGGCCATGATCCTGAGCCGGAAAAGGGTAGAGTGCCCTGTCTGGGTCGGGGAGGAGGTCCTGCCCCAAGTGGAGGACTCTCAGGGTCTTGTTCATGAATGAGACAAAAATGGAGCGAGAGATCGATAGGCGGATAGGTGCAGCATCTGCAGCGAAGTGGGTGCAGTACTTGTCTGTCAGGTTGTTTTCACAGCTGATAGTCCGGTAGACTGGGTTCGGTTCGGGACCAATATTCATGACATGTTGTTACATTTGAGCTGGTGCGTTTGCATTCACACTGCACTGTGCAGTCGAGTCAACCTGTTGAACCAACCTGTTGAAGCAACCTGTTGAAGCAACCTGTTGAAGCAACCTGTTCCCCCGCTCACCTGTGGGGGCGCTGCACCAAGAACTACTGAAAGAAACGACACAAAAACCTCTGAAAACACTTCTTCTTCTTCTGGAAATAAAACCAAAAACGGAGTGGCATCAAGTTTTATCAGTTTTAGGAGTTATAGTTTGTCATTTTTCAACAATGGACTTAGCATGAGAAGAAGATGAGGCAGAAGACCATGGAGAATATTTCAACATTTTTCAGTCTGGTCATCTGGAAAGTTAATTTTTTTTGTGCTGAAACGTTTCGCCTTTGATCCGAAAGGCTTCATCAGTCAAGGAAACACACAACAAAACGGATTCTTCCTCCAACAGCTTACTCCAAAGTGGAACAAACCAGCTTTGCTTGTGATAAGATGTTCACTTTGGTACGCCCCCTCCTCCATTGCCGGCCCTCTTCCTTGTTGACAGTCTTGTCAAACTGTTTGAAAACAACAAAGTCCATGCTCAATAATCCTGGTATAAAATCCAACATTTTTCAGTCAAGAAGACTGAAAGGAAACTGTCCAGATGACCTGACTGAAAAATGTTGGATTGTATACATGGATTATTGAGCATGGACTTTCATGGAGAATATTGTTTTTCACACAAGTCAGCTGACGGCTCCATATAAGAGAAATGTGTGTTTGTTTGTCTTGTGGAGCGGGTCCGGTCTGTTTACATTCACACTGTACTGGAACCGTGCTGGAGTTCTCTTCCACCAGACCGAGACCTAGGTTTTAGCCCGGGCCAGAGTTCGCCTTTTTGTTCCGTGACAGAGTTCGATGGCGCGTTCACACCTCCCCAAACGAACCGGACTTTCTAGGAAAACGAGCTAGAGTTCGATTAAAGTGGACTAAACAGGGCTTCTGTGAATGCACCCTCATGGTGAAAAGAGTTGAATCAAAAAGCGAAGCTCTCAATTTACTGGACGATCTACATTCCTACCTTCATCTATTCTGTTCAATTCAGTTTATTTCTTCAGCTCCAAGTCACAGAAGTCGTTTCAGGGACTGAACAGAAACATTCATCTATAAAATAATAATTTAACAGAAACATTCATGTATAAAATAATAATTGAACATTATTTATCTGAGGAGCAGCTTTGAGTTTAACTCCATCACTGAACTCTCATCTTGAACAAGCATGAAGGTGACAGTGGAAAGAAAAACTCCCTCATGATGAAGAAACCTTTAGCAGAACCAGGATCAGGACAAGAGGACCATCTGCTTCGACTGGCTGGGTTTGGTAAGAACAGATACACAATGGCAGGTCAAGAATCACGTTAAGATAGAAATAGTATCAAATGAAAACTATTAAATTTTAACAATTCATTTAAGGAAATTAGGTCGATTTGTCCTCTAGCAGTCTAAGTCTATAGCAGCATAACAAGCCGACACTAAGTATAGGATTTATCAAAAAGGAAAATCTTAATCCCAGTCTTAAAACTGGACAATGTGTCAGCCTCATGGACAGAAACTGGAAGTTGGTTCCACAAGAGAGGAGCCTGAGAACTGGAAGATCTTCCTCCCATTCTGCTGCTGGAAACTCTAGGAACCACGAGTAAACCTGCAGCCTGAGAGTGAAGTGCTCTGTTAGGAAA